TTACTGAAATGCATCTTCACAAAAACCAGTTACAAGAACGATGCTAAGTCCAGACCTAACCGAAACCAGAACCAAATGGACTAAAAAGCATAATGAAGGCTAACTAGAGAAAATTAAGTGGTAAAACATTCAACAGCAGAAAAGCAGTGATTACTAAGCTAAGCAGTTTATCTATGAAACTGAGTTTATACATATTCACTTTACAGATGGTTGGGAGAGTATCACCCTAAAACTTTCATTTTTGTTTTTTACTTAAACATAAGAAAAGGTGCAAATTTATAATCAAAAGTAGAAAAAGTTTATACACAATTTGGCTGTCAATATGGTAACAGATCCCTACTGTCTCCTTTTTATAGTATTATTAGGATGTAACTTTGGCTAGATTTTACCACTACTATATTAACAACTTGGAATAAATGTATATAGCTGCTTAATGAAAGTACTTAATATCTTAATAAGATTTATGATCATGATTACAATTGGTAAATGCATGAGAATACAATATAAAGTCAAATGTAATTTACAAAAGTCAAATATAGTAAGTTGTAATTGTGACAGTTTAGAGTTGGATAAAAGTGCCTCTTTTCTTTAATATAATGTGATTGTTCTCTTGCATTTCCTACATCTGGCCATTCCTGATGTTTAGTAAAATGCAGTAGAGCTACTGAATGAATGTCTTTTAGAGGTGTAATCTCACATTAAGATCAGTGACAATATGTCACTCTAGAGCTACAGAAGACAGAGTAAGGTCAGGAAAGAAACCTTCACTTTTCAATAGTCAGTTTCTATATAAAAATTGGCACTTGGTGCTCATCAAAGAGCAAGAAATATTGGATATGCTCTAAATGTCCATTGTGTTTTTGAGCCAACTACCTGATTGAAGTCATCACTTATATGTAAATGAACTGTCAATGGCTTGCCACAGCGGCAACCACTGGACTGTGAAGGGTACGTCTTAATAAGAACCGAGGCTCTTCACAGACTTTGATTTACTGGAAATAAAATAGAAAAGTCCTCTGAGACTACAAAGGACACTTGTTTCAGATAAAACGTCTAGACAGTGGCAATATATTTAAGGATTTTATTATAGCAAAACTGCAAATTAGAATGGAGTGGTAAGAAAGTTCCGGTGACCCAGCTGAATTCTAAAACATTGCTTCTGACTAGAGTAATATGATCTTTAAAATAGCTAAGCCAAATTGAATGAAAGTGCATTAGGGAAAAGGAAAAATGGAAACAAAACAAGGTCAAGATTGAGATGTTTGTTACATCTTTTAAATCATTTATTATGTGTTATGCTTTATTTGCTCTTATAAATCTGTTGTTATTAATAAAGGTGGATATTAGAATAGTTTAAAACAAAAATTCTGATCCTATAACATTGACCACTACTAAAAAAAAAAAATCCAATTTAAGATTTTCCTTCTCTATTCCTTTGCAATTGCTTTTCTAAAACATAAACATAACAGAACCCTGAATTATGTGACTCTTAATATTTTGATTTTGTTAATAATATACTTACTAAATGCTTTAGAACTCCACCCCTGGGTGTGCTGAGTTGGCAACCTAGTCTAGGCCGGGTGGCACACGCCTGCAATCGCAGCCCCGAGGAGGCTGAAAACAGGAGGATCACTACGAGATTGAGCTGCGTAGTGACACTCTGCACAAAATACAAAAAATAAATAAATAAGTAAATAAGTGCTTTAAAGTTTACAGTATACTTTTCATTGTAGTTTTGGTATGGGGAATCAAACTCAGGACCTTGTGCTTACCAGGCAGGTGTTTATGCCACCGAGCTTTATCCCCAACCCTGCAGTATACTTTCATACAAGTATATATGAGTATGGGAACTTTAATAGATCAAATTTCTGTGTTAAGTGCTTTCTCTCAGCACACTATGCTCCCAGAAGTGCATCAGGTTGGGTAAGTTAATAGGTTTAAAAGATAATCCTAATATCTTTTTGATTAAGTATTATAATTTTCTTGTCATTTATTTCACAATCAACCATGAGTCAGCAGGGCCTCTGTTCCATGCAGTCTTTCAGGGATTTAAGAGAAAAAGAAAAGAAAAACTTAACAAAAGACTGAACAGGTTTGCTGAATGTTTTAGACAAATGTGGTAACTTAAGTCAGTTGCCTCCAAGACTGGTAACTCATTATGGATTAACGCATAAGGTGATCAGATTGGAGTTCATGAAAAAAAAAAAAAATCCATGTTGAGTTTTTAAAATTGTATTTATTTATTTACTTATTTATTGGAAAAGATTCTGCAAGTATTGATTGCCTTCTATGTTGCAAAAAGTATATTTTCAATAAAATGAAAAAAATAGCAATAAATAAACTATGATCTGGCTCCCATGGCCCCACTCTAAATTTTGCTCTGGAGATCACTCATGTACAGGTGGTCAGCAGAGCTTTTGACCTATGAATGCCTTGTGGCAGTGTCCTTCACCGGAGGGTCTGAGGTCAGTGGCTCTGATTTTGGTAAGCTGCTTTAGCAGTGAGTGGGGCGTAGGATTTCTCTGGCAGTCTGTGTCTTCTGCAATTCCACCAATTTTGGAGTCATTTATGTGCTTTGACTTGTGCTACCCTATCTTCTTCAGCTGAGAATCCCAACCTGTACCATATATTTCATTCCTTCCTCCTTCCACCACTTTCACCCTTCCATCCATCCTTCATCTCTTATTTCTGCTTTATTAAATAATTTTAGTCAACAAGGGATCTGCCAACATAAGGATATTAAAAAATTAGGAACAGGTTTTGAAAAAGCTTTGATGTACTCCATACATATAAGTAGCAGGTACCAGAACACTTGGACCATTATGTTGTCCCTAACAGTCTAGTTCTCCTTCCCCTCTACACATAACCTGCAGCATCATCTTGGATGAAAGTGTATTGGCCATCCTAAATATCATCCTTGTAATTCTCTATAGAAGAGAAGACAAAGTTAGCAGAAAAGTAACTTTATTTTTGATATCAGGGTTATAATTTTATGATACTCTGGAGACTTGACAGCTTCTTATAATCCACAAAAATGAAAAGATGCAATAGATTTATTAATTTAATCTCCTGGCATTTGGAATGTATATGATATTTTAGAATTTCATATAGTTTGAATGATAATATAATGCTTATGCTTAGTCTTATAGTTAGATGACAAATGAAGCTAATCTTGGGAGTTTGCAATGAAGGAAATGAGACTATAAGGAAAATTGTTATAACCATATGTGTATGTAGGTTTTATAGATTTTCATCAGAAACCAGGATACCTGACTCATCTATGAGTCTGAAAATATCAACATTGCTTCAAAATTTTAAGTGAGGGATTTCCTCGATAAAGGTAAATGTTTCTAAAACTCTGTTGCTTGTATTTAAAAA